ATATATACATATATTTCTTTTACAACCCTATAGACAGTTAAACTAGACATGCATGTTTAATTAAATAGTTAAGCCATTCGGGCTTTTCAGTCAAAGATTTTTTTCAACCAAAACTATTTCTTAAATGATCACAGTAATAGGTTTATTGACATGAAGCTGTTTGTTATAATCTATTACCTAAATCTCTATAGTGTTTCTCTTTCCTAGCATCATCTATTTCTTGTTCTTTACCAATCTTGCTGATATTGTCAGTTATATTAATCTTTAAGTCATTCATTTAAAAGAATCTCTTTATATATGCTATACTTCATGTATTTCCTATGTACAGTGAGCCACAGAAAGTAGCATTAGCTGGTCAAAGTAACAAATATGCTTCAACAGAGAAGATTAAAAATAAAAAAGCAAAATAAGGTTTTATTCACAGTGATCCCCAATTGTTTACACTGTTGTAATTTTCATTAGTAAACTTCATAGTTTAAAACAATTTATGTCTACAGAAAATGTAGTAAGTACAGCAGTTCTCACAAACATCCTCTTATTTACATCTTCATTGCCATGTGGTGTGCTGCATTCTCACAACTGATGAACCAACAGTGATGGTTTCCTGAAGTCAGTTTATACTAAGGTCTATATTTTAAGCGTGGCTATCCATTTTTACAGTTGTTAGTGGTCGTCTTTGGCATCCCCAGTGCTTCCTATAAAGCATTGGTTTTCTCCCTCACTTGCTTACACTTTATCTTCTTTCATCTTACTTTCGGTACTGTAACTCTGCCTTCTCAAGTTGGGAGAACGTGAGCACTTCATTATTAAACCCAACCTGTCAGCTCCTACACAAATGGCCTCAAATTGCCAACATCTTCTAAGTCTCCTGGGTCTATTTTGCTTCTCTATTTTCCCATCTCATTATTCCTCATCCACCCTGTTGATTACCTACTACATACTAGGCCTATTACAGAGAGAAATATTTATTTTGGGACTATGAAGATAATTATTCTAAACCCTTTGAACTTAAAGCTAGAACAAACACTCTTCTTTTTAAAAAAGTGTACTTACTTTGCATAAAAGTCAGAGGAGAATTTGTAGGAATGTGTTCTCCCCTCCTACCATGTGGATCCCAAGAAGCTAATGCAGGACATCAGGCCCCAGAGCAAACACTTTTGCCTACTCATCCATCTCACCAGGCCCTAAAGCAGTATCAACATGATCCTCAAGCCTTCCTTTGGTTCTTGAATTACTTGGGCTAATTTTCAAGGTCTTATGTAATTTGATATATTCTGTTGGTCTCTAGGCAAGAATTCCATTCAAAACAAGTACAACACACAGAAACTGATATTTTATTCTATTTTCCAGCACTTAATGGCTTTCTGCCTTCCTCTCAACACAGCCAACTCACCACCTGTGAAATCTTGAAATCAAGTAATGGTTGACTTGACAAAAGTCACTTCTGTACTTAATACAATGCAATGAAAAGCAATACAGACATGAACTTTTCTTGACACCTATTTGATCTTAATGGGTTCCTTCTCCATGTTTAGATCACTAAAGAACAATGCAATTGGATCATGATATTACAGATAGCTAACACTCATTAAAATGCAACAAATATATACCATATCTAACAACATACCTTGCCTGCCAGTCGGCTGGAGATGATTCCATTACTGGATATAAGACAATCAGCAAGGGTAGTTTTTCCTGTTAAAATGACATTAATTACCATACATTTGTTTAAAGGGGCTAGCAGTCTATAGTGCTATATCTTCTACTTGTGGACCTCACCAATTTCACTTGAAAAGTTGTCAGATTAATTTTAAGCACAGAAATTTTCTTAAATCGAGACAGACTTTACAGAGTAAAACATGTGATTTTGGTAAGATAAACTACTAGGAGGATAAAAATACAGATCACCTTGTACAATGTTTATATTAGTTACTATAATCTAGCATTTAAGAAATCAATTCATAATTTACCAACCATTCCATACAACTGATCATTCTTATAAACTTAGGCTGTAAAGGCTCAGAATGTCACAAGATAGCGTTTGCCTCAGAAAGGTATGCTGGGTAAATATTTCATCACCAGGAAATGATAGCACATGGTCTCCTGTCATAATTACCTATATGTAATTCTCAACAACATTCGCTAATTAAACTGTTGCACTTATTTAATAAGAAAATTTGTTTCCCTACTGTTTGTGGTGTAGCCCATGGAGCAGTACACCAGGAGCAGCCAGTGCGACCCGTTTCAAAACTAAACCTGGAATCTACTTTGCAATAAAAGATTTTGTTTTCAAAATCAATATAGATTTACAGTTACCTTTATCAGACTATTGCCAAAGTTAACACAATTTCAAGGGGCATGAGCCTGTGTTCAAAGAATGACATGGGCACACTCAATTTCCACAGTTGGGTAGGCCTAACAAATAGTCAGGTTTTTCCTTCAATACAGCTTTTTGTAGTCTGTGAATATATAATCTGTGTAATAGCATAAACCAGGAACCAATCAACAGGACCTCTGAGATCTTAAATAATGTGTTTTAGTTTATAACCCTAGAATATCACTTTTCATTAAGTATTCAAATATACACACCTTAGAATGAGGGGACTTTGTTACTAAGCAAGGCTGAATCCTTTGAACAACAATGTTTCATACATATACACTGGTGAATCTGCTATTCAGTTCTCAAAGCAAAACCAAGACAAAGCAGAAACCAAAAGGGAAAAAGAAACAAAGTAAAACCTTTGGCTAGACCTCATATCCTCCAAACTTGCATATAATCATAAAACCCATGGGGTAGGTTAGTCACTGATTTATATGCAAAACTCAAATCTCAGTTGGTTCCTCCTCCAGTGACCTCAGTTTCTGTACTACCTTCTCTTCAGACAAGAGTCACCAAGCCTCTTTTCTGCTTTTCAACCCACCCAAGCACCTTTACCAGTCTAATCAAATCTGTAATTTGAATGCTTTGCCCTTGCTTCCTCCCCACCCCATGGCTCCCTACACGGTAATTAAAAATGTTAATCATCATTTTACACAAGTAAGTATTTCATCGCTGACAGGAGATTCTCATTACCATCTTTTTACATAGGCTGTACACTGAAGCTCCAATAGGCAAAGTAATCTGAAAAGAACTCAAGAGTTTAGGATGTCTAACTACAGAGCTAGAGCCTTCTGTTACAGCCTTGCAGGCCTGATGAGCTCTAAGAGACAGGGTCCAGCCTGCCTTGTCCCCATCCACTCCCTCACCTTCGAAATGAAATGCTGAGTGGTTTTGACTTCACATGCCATTCTAAACTGAGCTGCAGCTACTAGAAGAGTTTCAACTGGCAAGCAGACTCAGAATGAAGTAGTCTGATAGTGTCAAGGAAATGTCTATCTGAATCCCACAGACAAGTGTTAGCTAAGCGGGCCTTTATTGTATCTACACTTTAGTCACATCTATTTCCTTCTGCCCCTGTTCACACACTTCCAGTTATAATGCCTGTCTCCACCTATCAGCTAGAGTCCCCTCTTCAAAGGGCATATCTGACAAGTTTTCTTAACCCTATCTGGCTACTCAATCCTCCATTTCTCAAAACTCTTACCTATTTCCCCCTTCCCCTTCTTATCATGTTGTCCTGATTCATCCCTAAAACCTCTACAGCTGGGCAGCTGGCCTCCTCAGAGATGTCTAGCTTCTGATAAACTTAACAAAAGGCCACAAACTTAGAAAATACTTATTCATTATGTAATGAATTAAGCAAGATCCCTAGGAATACCTTCTATGTTTAACATTTCAAAAATTTTTCCATATTTTTACAAAGATCCAAGTTCAAATTTAAAAGCACTATGTGAAATCCTATGCAGAAGAATGCTAATCACCAGTTAACCTGACTATTACAAACGTTGTACAGCAGGCTTCTCTGACATGACACACATACAACTTCTTAGCAAGCATCACTATCATCACTCCAATGAAACATACAGAGACATCCCCATTTGTTAATAAAGACATTAAAAAAAAAGTCTTACCATGGTCAACGTGAGCCAAAACACAGATATTTCTGATGTTGGCAGTGTTTTTCTGAAGCTGAATCATCTTATCGAGGCCATTGAGCACCATGGTCACTTTTTTCCTGCGACTAATAATTAAATGAAAATTACAAGTGGTACAAAGTTTAAAGGTCAGGGGAAAACAACAACAAAATAAATTTACAAATTGAGAGAGAGAGAGAGATGCTGGTGTTTACAAGCCGCCTCAGATTTCTCAACTGAGACCCCAAGGAATAAGGTTAGCCACATTTAACTCCTTCTGCCTCTGACGGGATCTGACTGTGCAAGCCCAAGAACAAGTTCCACTGCAAAGTCCACACACCTTTATAGTACTTGTGGAGTGCGCTGGGAGTTTCCGGATCTAAAGCGCAATGAATCACGCAGCTGGGAGCCGGGTGCAGAGACGCCCAGCTAAGTGACACCACGCATCCTGGTACTCTGGCTCAAGACAACCACAGGGAGAGTGGACATCTCCCTCTTCCCCACTTTAACCCCTCCTAAAAACCTGTCGCTCCTGTCAAGCTTTCACCAGACCTAAGAATCTCGGCCCTGAGACTGCCCCGAGTGTCCTTTAAAGTTTTGGATCTCGTGTCCGGGAACACAGCAGGTGCATGACACATCGTCCATTCCTCTACAATTAAAAAGGGCAAACTGAAGTCTGCAAGCTCTTCCTCCGTTTGGGCTCCGGGAGGCGTTGCCTGAGGGTCCCAGGTTCCTACGAGGTGCTCTGCTCGCCTAGCCCTACGGCCACGAACCCCCAGGTCCCCACCATCGTCTGGTCGCCGGCGTCTCTCGCAGGGCCCCACTCACCAGCTCTAAGCTGCACTTGGCCCACGCTTCTGAGGCTCCAAGAGTAACTCAGGCCGGAAGTCGTGGGCGCCGGGAGGCGGGGCCTCAGGCCTGCGACCTCTGACCCGCGCGCGTCCTGAACGCCGCCGGAAGCTGCGTCACGCCCTTCCCCGTGGAGTCCCGCAGTCGCCTTGACGACCGCAGACGCTGTGGCTGCTCTGAGGTGCTGGCTGAAGCCCCGCAGAGGACGACGCTGGAGCCAAGGGCATGAGGAACTGGTGTCTGTGTCAGATTTGCACCTGCGGGTAAGAAACGGCAGGCCGCTGCGAGGTCAGAGGGGCCGTATGCACGCTAACTCCTCGCTGCACCTCCCTTTACTCACTTGCCCGAGGGGCCAGTGCCCGGCGACGCCCCCAATTACCCTCAGCGAGATGCGCACTTTTTCTCTACTTGTCTGGCTCCTGGGGCAAAACGTTTCTTTGTAATCCCCGAGGCTTCCTATTCAGAGATTTAAACTGAAATACAGTCCAGTCCTGGTAAGTAGTATGAGCAAATAAGACTAGTAAGTGATCGAATGTGGACTGGGAAAGAGTTGGTGCTCCCCCCCCCCCAACCAATTCTGTTAGTTAATTTAAAGGAACGGTATCCAGGGACTTTACTTTGCAATTCAGGGCTTTCTATTCTCTAAAGTTTACTGTTATTCCTGTCCAGGCGGCGTTCTCTTAGGGTGAGCCTGAGAAACAAAAATGGCAGTAGTCCCCACCTTAAACTTCAGTAAGTCCTGCCTAACAACCTTCCACCACCAGTAAACACATTCTTCTCTTTCCTCGGCCTTACTGTTGACCCAGGGATTAGGTCACCTTTGCTAAGTAAATATGAATAATTCCAAGCCCTTTGTATTTCTAATCCTCTTCTAGGGGCAACCACCTACAATACATGTTGGTTGAAAGCAGTTTTTTTGCCTTTTTTTTTTCATAATAAACATGGTTTGTCTGTAAATATGGGCGCAAACACAACTTTTAAGGTGCAAATCTACAAAATCTTGTAAGAAAAAAATTTATTTTAATCTGAGTTTATTTACAACATAAGTAAGTTGCTTTCCCACCGAGCCATCAAGAAATTCGTTGTACTGGGGACTCTTCATTCTTCAAATAATATCATTATCCAAAGAGGTGGGGCACTGCCAATGTAAGAAGTAGTCCCTTTAAGCTTTGGAGCATGACTAGCAACTTTTGCTGAAGTGCCCCTTGCAGAAGCTTCGTTTCTTTCAGGACAGTGCTTCTGCTGCTTTCAATTTTATAAATGAGGCACAAGAATCATTGACAAAATGAAGAGTGACTACGTATGACACACATGATTCCATTCAGTCAGTGGTTTTAAAATGTGGGTATATCCATGGGACACTGTCTCAGAATGGGACAAAGGTCCTTCACCACCATCCCTCTCAACCCCATCTTTTGCCTACTGTCCTGTTACAAGGAAAGAGGGAAGAGCTTTCCCTGCTCTTGTTGTTGAAGACCATCTGTTAGGTACATTTGAATCACTGTGGTAGCAATGGACAGGAACAAGGAGGAAAGGTCTATCTGGGCATGCATTCCAAAGGGTGCAGTCCATGCAGTTAGGCATGGTGGAATTCTTGTCCTGGAACATGAAGCAAGGCTTCTTACATGCTGGCAGACCAGGAAGTAGAGAGCCTTTGGGATCAAGAACCAGGCTATCATCTTCCAAGGGCTGACATTAGCCACCTACTTCTACCAGGTAAGTGCCAGCCAGCTTCCAAGATCCTTCCAGAATGGTTCCATCAGCTGGGAAGTAAGGATTCAAATCCTGAGCATTTCAGATTCAAACCATGATGCCATCTTTTCCATCTTCCCATCTTTTCTCTCTCATGAACCTCAAATTAAATTCCTTTGAGCTCCCACTAGGAACATCTAATTTCATTTTTTTTCTTTTTCTTCTTTTCTTTCTTTTTCTTTTTCTTTTTTTTTTTTTTTTTTTTTTTTTTTTTTTGGCAGAGGTTCTCTGTATAACAGCTCTACGTGACCTGGAACTCAGGACCAAGCTGGCCTGGAACTCACAAGAGACCTGCCTGCCTCTGCCTCCTGAGAGCTGGGATTTTAGAAGTGTGTTTCCATGCCCAGCCAATTTCATCATTTCTATGAGCTGCTTCTTCAAAAAGAGAAAGATTTAACAAGTGTAAACAGCTATAACTACCAGCAAAACTGTAAAGCAGAAGAAAAAAAATTCCTTTTAAGGATTGCAAATGTTAGGTTACAAGGCTTTTGCTTTCTTTTATAATATGTCCACACTTTTTTGTCTTATATTTGTCCACAGACTTTTGGTAATGCAGTGTTTTGGTGGATATAAAAACAGTGACAAATCCCAAAGCATTGACATGTGTTTTGTTAATCAGTGCATCTCTATCAGAGCTCTTGTGTATTTGTGACCTGTGTACTCTGCTCCTGGATTTTCTGAGTGTCTTGTACTCTGTATGGAATAAAAATCATGTCAGTACTTGACAGCAGCCTCATTTGTAGGGGAAATTACTGAGTCTCTTGACTCTTCTGGCTTAAAACTTCTTAGACACATGGAAGAATAAAGATGCGTAATCAGGATGCTGCGTGACATCTCTCAGCTCCAATCTCTCTTGACCTCTACGATATTTCATGCCCCACCAGCACTACCAAAAATGGATATTGTGCTCTGCCTCCTTCCTTTTGTAGTTATATTCTGAATCAGAGTCACCCGTAAGTATCTATTGTAGGTGAAACCGAAATGAAAAACTTGTCTGTCTGCCTGACATCTAGGAAATTTACTTGTTAGCTTTTCTACTTCAGTAACAAGAAATCACTTAAACTGTTATGAGCCAATCCAGTTTCTGCTACATATTACTACACTGTAATTTACTTATTATTTATAAGCTCCAATGCAGAGAGGTAAGCTGTGCTAAAGTTCAAAGTCATGAGTTCATTGAAGATCCTGTTAACATGCAAATAACTAAAAGAGATGCTTTTAAGGCAAAATAATGTTCCAGTTTATTTGTTTGTACAGACGGCATCGCTGTCCACATGGAACCACAAAGGTTTATGAGCATTCTGGCACATCTTACCCAACAACGGAGTATTTGGAAAAATATCCAAATTATGGCAATGTTCTCCCACCTCAGAGCCTTAAACCCAAGCAAGAATTTCAAGCTCGCCGTGGCAAAATGGAAGGAGTAACTACATTTAAGTAAATATTGAGAAACTGTTTCCTTATTTTTTGCCCAACTTTCTGGCCTTCATAAAGTTTTCTTGCTATTTAAATTTAACTAGCTAGTTGAATTAAGTTGAACTAACTTTAGAAGCAAAAACTAAGTTATAACTTGAGAAAAACAGAAAGATAGGATTTAAGTACTTTGGCCAAGAGAAGGAAAAACAAAAGGTTTTATTGATTTTTTTTAATTGCCTAAAATATCTCATATTTATGAACCACTATCTAGAGGAATACCTCTTCTTCCTTGTGTGTGTGTGTGTGTGTGTGTGTGTGTGTGTGTTTTAGCACTCATGCATGTGCATTCAAACATATATGTGTGGGTATGTATACATGTGTGTTCTAGTTTTTACATCTCTGATTGGTACCCAATACATTAGCCTGTTAAAGCAATCTTTCAGTGTGCTGATTTAATCCTATCATGATCCTACTTAAAATGCTTTTAAAAAGTTTGTTTTTTAACATAGACTCAATCTCTTTCATAACTACTACATGGATTATCAAAACCTGTTTGCTTCTTTAGTTTGTTTTCCCTGTTTGGAATTCTCCCTCCCTATTTTCCTAGCTACTACTCATCCAATCTATAAATATCAACTCAATTTTCCTTTGTAACTGTCATCTCTGACAACTTACCTTTTTTATTTAGCTTTTGAGGCCAACTAAATATCTCTCGTAATTTTTCATATCATATTTATTAGATTCATTTCAGTGTTCCACACCAACAGGATGTACATCTTTTGTCAGCGTTCCATCCTCAGGAACTTAGTACAAAAGCCATTACCTAGAGTAGGTATCCATTCCTAAAAGCAGGGGCTTAGAGCTCTTGCATGATTCACTCACGTTGATCATGTTGACTAGAAAATTGAAGGGTGATTTATCTGTACAAAGAATAAGAGTTATTCTATACTATATGTTTTTATAATACAGGAAGAGACTGTGAGTACTTGTATGAGATTTTTGATCTTGACATCATAATTGTAGCTCACTTAAGTAACCACTAGAATTGACAGTATTTCTTTAACGTAACTATGATGTACATGATTATATTGTTATTTATAAGGAAACTAGGGCATAGTGAAATTAACTAAGTTATCCAAGTTATGCAGCTATTAAATGTCAGAGCCAGATTTGGATTCAGGAAGTCCAGTTAGCCTTGAATCTCCGGCTTTCTCCATTCCATTGTTTTGTCTCACCTCTGTCATACCACCTCTGTCACAATAATGTTATATAATGCACATGATGACTAGATTACCATTTCATTCTCATTCATGGCCAGGGCTTCTAAGAGATCCAAAATCTTAGTAAGACTCACATCTGTACTATGAACCAGAGATAATTATTTTAACAATGCACAAGAAGATAGTGTGACTTCCATAGGAAGACACTCACTATGCCTAAGTATAGTCTATATAGGAGAATGTGGCTTTTGTCAAAGTGAATACAGAGCTAATCTTGGCCAGTTTATTAGCTCACCAAACCTTTCTCTTAAGATTTCCTTCTACATTAGATGAAAAATTAAATTACATGAGAATTTTACTTATAAGATCAAATTGAGATTGTTTCAATTTTTAAAAACTAAGGTTTGTCATGTCTTTTCTTGTCATTGGATAGAACCTTATAAAACAATTCAATTGCTTCTTTCAAATAATCAACTATTACAATTTTAATATCTCTTTAGATTGTTCAAGTAAGACAAAATTGAAGATTTTGTTACTGTAATAATCAAAACAGAAGAACCAGTGAGGCTGTGTTTCACACACACACACATATATATATTTCAGGTCAGATTATCGTCCTTATGAAGTAATCAAACAGACTCGCCACATACCAGAAGAATATAAACCCAAACAGGGGGAAATTGATCTTGGTACTACCTACAAGCGAGATTTTAATCCTTTCAAAGTACAGCCTGTGGTAAAAATCCGGCCTGTGGAAAGACAACAAGTTAAAAAAGGAAAGTTGGACACTGTCCCAACTTATAAAGGTAACTTGTCTGTAAAAACAAAGGTGCCCCAAACCTAAAAATGCCATCTTTGACCTTTACATTCAACTCATAATTATCTTGTATTATCATACTTAGCTACCAGTTAGGAAAGATCATTCTTCTCTTTGACCAAAATAGTATTGTTAGCAAAACCTAGTTACAAAAAACAAACTGCCTCATGAGGAATTAGGAGTCTTAGACTCTTTCCAAATTTATCCCCTAAGTTGTCTTTATCTTAGAGCATATTAAAAGCGAGGCATGTCACTAAGCAAGGACATATACTATACTTGTCACATTTAGTTGGTATTGTCTTTTTTACTCTTTTCTATAATGAGTTGAAACTCAGAAGAGGAAGTTGGAGTTGTTGACAAAATAAAACAGAAACTGTTCTCTTGATACAAATTTCAGACCAACCTGTAAAACTAATGAATTAGTAGATTAACAAGCAGAGTATTGCTTTTATACTCTAAAGACTAAATTGGAGGATCTGTGAGCGGATGATTCTGGACTTCAGAATAAGATAAACATCTCCATCCCTAACAGGCAGTGCTAGGTGACAGCAGATAGGGTCCTGCTCCTCTAAACCTTGCTTGCAGCAAGAAAGAAGTATGAGTATGCTTTCCCATTGTTAGCAACTCACTAGAGGAAGTGGTGGCAATTGTATGATTTCCCCACCCAGCAAAAACTTGGATTTTAAAATACTCCATTATTCTTGGAAATCTTCATTTAAAAACAGACCATCTTGATATGATATTGTTTGTTTTCTTCATTACTAACACAGTTGTACATGCAGGTCAAAATCTTTCTGTTGATTATGTGAAGTAGCTGAATGAGTATGTTCCAATATAAAACATTTTGGAACAGTGTTAGCTGATATAGTTAATTAGGTAATAGCTAATGAACACTTTTAAAACTCTTAGCATTAAATGGGTAGTTAAATGCAAGGTATACTATGAGCTGTCAGGGAAGTTAGGAATAATGTTCTTTCTGATTTTGAAAAACTGAGTACATATACTGCTATAGAAAGAACAATTTATAAAACTATAAATGGTGAATATAATCAAATACAGCACAAGCAAATTACTGAGATATTGATATGAATAAAAGATACTCTTGACATAAAAGATAATCAGGGAAAATGACTTTACTTTGGTATTTATGAAATTGTAGTAACTTTCTTCTGTGTGATATATATTAAAAACAGAAATACTGGTGTCCCTTGATGCACACAGCCTATCTAACACATACAGACACATCGTGTTCCAGGTTTTCAAGAGTGAAACAGCAACCTCAACTGTACTTAATTTTGAGTGATTGTAATTCTGTGTGTGTGCTTCTGAATGCCTTGAGCAGGTAGGTGTCTGGTACCGTCTAAGAGTAGAGGACAGAGGGAAGACGCGGATAGAATATTGTAGAGGAAAATATCCTGCAGTACAGTAAATAGATATACATTTCTGAACATGAGTTTTCATGAAACAGAAATTTGTTCTCAGCTTAGAAATTCACTCATTAAAATTTAGATACAAAAATAGATTGCTGTGTTTTGATAAAGGTCTTAGGGCTTTCTCTGCCCTGTGCTTGCTATTATAGAGAATACAGAGATCTAGATCGGAGAGTCATTCCGGACATTCAGAAATTTTATACCCAATATAAGGAAGTAAAAAACTGTACACCGAAACCTACAAAACACAGATGTAAGAAGTGGAAAACTATCTTTTATCCATGAATTAGGATAAATAATATTAAAATGTCTGTGATACCAAAGCACTCTACAGATTGAATGCAATCCCTATCCAAATTCCAGTGGCAGTTTCTCGGAAATAGCAAAAACAATTCTAAAATCCATATGATACCACAGAAGACTAATAGTCAAAGCAGTTTGGAGAAAGACCAAAGTATGAGGGATATTTCCTGATTTCTAATTACATTAAAAGGCTTCTATAATTAGTATGTTAATAACAAGAGAATGTACACACATGAAACAGAATCAAGGACTCAAGTGTATATATTAGCATATATAGCCAACTAATCTTCAGCAAGAAAGCTATAGATATACAATGTAGAAAAAAAATAGAATTTCTGCAGTAATTTGTATTGGAGAAACTGGATAACCCCCATACAAAATAATAAAATTGGGTTCTTTATACCACACACAAAAGTTAAAGTGGAAGAAAGACTCAAATATAAGACCTGAAATTGTAAAATTCCAAGAAGAAATACTGACTTTGGGATTTGTTTAGATAGGATGCCAAAAGCACGTAAAACAAGAGCAAAAAGATATAACTAGGATTACATAAAACTAAAAAACTATGCAGCAAGAAATGAAATGACAACCAATGTATTTGAAAAATATTTGTAAGCCATATACCAGACAAGGGGTTAATATCCAAAATATACAAGGAACTCAAACAATATCACCTTATTTAAGAATGTCCCATGAATCTGAATAAACATTCTTCCAGAAAAGACATAAATGACCAATGAGTACATGTAAAAAATACTCAGGGTCACTAAGATAGAAAATGCAAATGAAAAACAAAGTAAGATACAGTTCATATCTATTCTGTTGGGTATTATCAAAAGGTAAAAGAGAACCCTTGTTGGTAAGAAAACAAAAAACAACAAAAAACTTTGTACTCCTCTACATAGGAATAAAAATTCCTCAAAAAAATCAAAAATGGAACTTCCGTATAATCCAGTAGTTTCTAACCAGGATTTATAACTGAAGTGAAATAATTACATCAAGATTATAATATGCATTCTTAGATCCATTTTAGCATCATTCACAACCTTGACATCTTATTAATGGATAGGTAGGTAAAGAAAGTCAAAGGTTAAGGAAACAATTCAAAAATTTGTATTTAATAGTACTCCCAGTACTTAGAAAGCTGACAGAGGATCCCAAGTTCAAAGTCAGCCTGTCCTGAATAGTTCAAGACTATCCTGGGTTAACACAGGTATAATGTATCAAACACAGTATAGAAATAGAAAGAATGTACCAAAAGCTAGAATAAAATAAGCAAAATGCATAAAATGGTGAGGGGTGAGGGCAGATTTCTTGAGAGAAGCAGCTGGGGATCAGAGTCAGAGTTTGGAAACTGGAATGTACTCTATAAATGCAGGTTGAGATTATATTGGAGAGAGCCTTGATTGACAGGCTGAACATTTTATAACCATTATATTTTTAAACAATGTTTATGAAGCATAGGCTGGTGTTGAAATTGTGTATAACAGAAGGTGTCCTTGAATACCCAACCTACTTGTCTCCATCTTCCCATAACTGTCATTACAAGTGTGCATCACTATGCTTGACTACATTACATATTTTTATAAGTTCTTATGAAGGTGAAAAGTATGTCATAGGCAGGAGAATATCAGTGTTTTATTATAATAACTAAGAAAATAATATGAAATTTTTAATTCCTTTTAATAGCAGACAGCTTGTGCAGGAAAAAATTAAATTCCATAGAATGCTGCCCACCTTATAGATGAGCTACTTATTCTGTGAGAATATTTGCCAAGTCTAAATCTAGGCTGAGGATTGAACTTGGCATAAACAAAGTCAATTTACTGTGGGGGAAAAATAAAACAGTGAACTATTTGATTTGTAAGCTGATCCAGGTTGCAATATACAAAAACCCCATGTGCATGGATTGTTTCCTGGTGAAACTTGCACTGTTTGATGGATATGATGTTCTGAGAGATTGAGCCCAAAAATTCCAAGAAACAACTAGAAGCTTATTTGGGAGTAGATGCTTAGTAGATAAAGCCCCATTAGAATGAAGAGTTTACCACCCAAACACACCCAAATCATGTCCTAAGGACATTTAAACATAGATCAAGACTGTGTCTCCCTAGCTTAGCCCTTTATTGGATTGAGGGGATATGCCCACATCCTGTATGCCAAATACCTGAAAGAACAAACTTTCTACTAAAAAAGAATTTAGTTTCCATGATTCTTTTATACACAACATCTAGTGACTGGCAAAACATAAGACCTATAGAAAACTCAGGAAATAAATGGAGATAAATGGACAAGGAATTACCAAAATTTGTGACTAAATCCCAAATAGATAAACACAAAGGAAACTGTCCCCTAGACAAATTCCATTTTTAAAAGGTAAAGAATTCTTAAAGATGATAGAAAATTATGAAAAAAACATGTCTAGAAAGAGAATTAAACCAGACTTTGTTGGAACCCAATGGAATAGAAGAGATCTTGGAGCATGAAGTCCTAAAAGGATGTCTATATCAAACCCCTCCCTGAGGTATTAGGGATTTATGCAGAAAAGGGGTCAGAAAGATTTTGAGAGCCAGAAGAAGTGATGTCTCCAAGGAAAGAAGTCTTCCAGACATAACAGGGCTGGTATACATATGAACCCACAGTGTCTATGATAACATGTGTAAGACCTGTACAAATTCAAGCCAAACAAAATTCCAGCATGGAAAAGCGGAAGTGGGCACAATGTCCCATTCTTAACCAAGAAGTTATTTGCAATTGATACTTTACAGAGGGAAAATCAGTTTCCCCAATTGAATGGCTAACATAGAGTATACCGATCATACTCCCAGGCAGAACTCACGTTCAGGAGTAGTTGATCAATGTTCGATACACATGAGTGTGTGTGTGTGTGTGTGTGTGTGTGTGTGTGTGTGTGTGTGGTGTGTGTGTGTGTGTGTGTGTTATGGTTTAGAAATATTTGTATTTTGTTTTTGATAGAACATGAAGAGTTGGATGAGTAAGATGTAGAGGATCTAGGACGACTTGGAGGGGAGGGTAAATAATACAATCAAAACATTGTATGAAAACTAAACCTTTAAAAATAATTTTTGAATGCCACAAGAAAATATTTAAATATACAGAGTCTTAGACTTTTATAACTAGAGACATAGTCTTCAAATATATGACAGAGAGTCTTTAAAACAAAACAAAAGCTGAGAGAAGTCTACTAGCAGCACAGCAATACTATAGAATTTTAAATGAAGTTCTTGTAGTTGAAGGAAAATGAATCAGATGAAAGTATAGAATTCAGGAGTGAATAAAATAGAATGCACAAATAGAAAATAGAAAAGTCATGGTATGTTTTCAAACAAATATGGGATTGAAATATGATAGAACGGTAGCATTAAAGAAAACTATTGTGGAAGTGTTCAAAACAGCATACATAAGCAAGAGAGGTTCCACAATGAATGAAATTAAGCATTTTATTTAAAAAATGCAGAAAGGCTTACTGAAATTCTAATAAAGATGGGGTAATTAAAAACCTGTAGTAATTCAAAAGAATGTAGAAAATAAGCTATATGGGATGAGGAACATATGAGAGAAAGCAAATAGTGATATAGTCAAGCCCAGCTGGATCATATTAATAATTTAGAGTGGTCTTCCTTACAAGGGATTTAAAATCTGATGTCAAGAATTTATATAAATTGTGAAAATTCTTTGAAAAAGATAATTCACCAAATTAACTTAAGAAGAAATATAGTTCAAGTAGATATCTGTTTCAGAAACTGAATTTATAGAATTGCAGGTGTAATTTAAAATGATAAAGAATGATCTGGGATTTCCAACTTCTGAGTAAGAGAAAGAAAACTGAAGAGTTTTCTTAACCAAACTCGGAAAAACTAGATAGGTGATGTATAAAATCATAAATGTTCATGAGTCCCTTAGAAAGCTAAGATCAGAAGTCCACTAACAGAACAAAAGTAGATGAGGCATCATGCAAAGTGAATGTTGCAGCTTGGAGACAAAAAGCAAGACAAAGATTTTTTTAAAAAAAATTCTCACATTTATTACATCCCAAACCACAGTTTTCCCTCCCACCTCTCTTCCCAGTCCCTCCTCTACCTCCTCTGCCCCAGATCCACACCTCCTCCATTTCCCTTCAGAAAAGGACAGGACCCCCAGGGATAGCTACCAAAAAAAAAAAAAAAAAAAAAAAAAAAAAAAGAAAGAAAGAAAAAAGAAACTTCTTAACATGAGATGAGGCAATGTCCTTGGAACTAAGTATCTCAAAGATCTGCCTCTGTGATGCAGGGCAGACTGAGCTGTAGAAGAACAACAGATACCCCTCCATATACACAAAGCAACACACCTCACTTAGAAATGAGTAATATCAGCCCATTGCTGGGAAAGGGCAGGGTATGGAGAGACATATTTCCTGAAGTACAAAAAGCTTAAAGATGGAACAGATAAACAAAAAGCCTCCCTGCAAACCAGCTTCCAACCTTAACACAGGAATAATAGCAAAGACACTCTGCAGGTCCTCTGAAGGTAAGCATAGCAACAGAGAGACCCAAACTTAATTATGATTTGAACCAAACTGACTTCAATAAAGCTCTGGGAAATGAACATGGATTCATTTATAATTTCTGGTTTTAAAATTATAAAAGGGGGAAATGAGAAGGAGAGAAGAAAGAGGAGGAAAAGGAAGACATTGTCATGAGACCAAAGGCAAACTCAGTCTGGGAAGGAGCCAGATAATGGCTCTTTGGGGGAAATTAAAAATTATGACTGGTGGTCAGAAACAAGTAGAAAAATTAACCAAAAGATGGAAACTACAAAAAGGAGAATATAATAAAAAAACAATAGTGATGACAATGCCTTGCATAGGTGTTTGAGTAATTGGAGTACATCCACAGGGGAGGAGTAATAGACTTCAAATAAAGCAATATAAAGCAAATGTAAGGAGAAGACAACAGTACAAAGTGCCCAAAGCTGTAAAACACTTTAAAGTGAGCCTAACATATATGTACATAAAACACTAGAAAGAAAACGAGAGAATTACCTGAAGATTTAATAGAAAATATTTTTCCACAAATAATGAGTGACATCACAGTACAGATCCAGAAAGCTATAAAACCTCCAAGCTGGTTACATTTATAATTTTAAAAATTGTGTAGAAATATACAGATTGCTTAATATGAGAGACACTTTATAAATCCAGGCTTGTTGGCAGATGCCTGGAATCCTTGTATGTGGTAAGTAGATGCAGAAGGATCAGAAGGTAAGGACATCCTTTGCTAAACAAAGAGTTATAGGCCAGTCTGAGCTACATAAAACTTAGTCTTAAAAACAACAAAAAAGACACAAATTAAAAACAGAAGAGTGAGTACTAGGATCATGGAAACTAGAAGAGAATGAACTTATGTCTTGAAAATGCTGAAGGCTAGGGCACAGAGAGTCCACCACCCATATCAACCCTTAGAGAAAATATCTTCCATAAAGTCTTTTTGAGACAAGTAAAAAGAATTATCAGAGATAATACCAATGTCATATGCAGTTTTAAGAGAAATTCTTCAGGTAAATGCAATATGAAGCAACAGAAACTTGGTCTTCATAAAGAGAAAAAAGCCCCAGAAATATATGCAGTGACAATATAGTGTTTTTCTGAAGCAAAAATGCTATCAGTTTTGGCTGTTTTTTTTTTTTTTTACCAACTATAAAAGTACAAATTAAAAGAGGTAAGAGTTGGAAATATGTTGTACCTTGGTTGTTACTCCTCAGTCATGTGCTGTGTAACAATTCAATCAACAGAAGACTACTTTTACAGCCATAGTCTAAGATGATGTCATCTACTGAGGTCATAGGCATTTTGGAATGCTGATATTCCCATAGCAAAAGAACTGTAAAGATGCATCTCTCTGTATGTCCCCATTGTTAAAGTACACAACTGCATATGTAAATCAGAACATTATTACTCAAAAGTGAACTATGACTTGTTAAAAATTTGTATTGTAAATTTTAAAGCAAGGGGAAACAAACTGGCCTGTGGGCCAAGTCCAGACCATCATTTTCTTTTTATAAATAAAATTCAATTAACACATCTATTCTTTTCCATACTACCTATTGCTGCGTTCTTTGTACACTGATAGAATTTTGCGTTTGCAGTAGACACCATACATTTAGAGACTTGTATTTAAGCTTCAAAGCCTAAGACATTTCCTATCTTGCTATTACAGAAAAATGTTTGTCAATACCTACTCTGTGGTAATCCTGATGCTGAGATTGGAAACTCAAAAAGAAGCTACTTCATACTATCAAGACTTATCTCTCACTCTCTAGATTCTTGTTCCCTTTTTAAAAGCCCTAGTTGCTTTGGTATAAGGAAAAACTTTCTTCTATTCATTTGCATATTTACCTAAAATAAGCATTGCTTTTCTTAGTCACTTTGGCAACAAAAACTTTCCCAATATAACTGGGAAATGTGGATCTTCACTAACATCTCTGACTTCCTTTTAGTTACTGCAAATAGTGCTATAATTTTATACTTTAGTTCCTAAAGAACAGAGACCCCTTCATGGTACCTCAAGAAAAAGATTCGTGGTGAGGCTTCATGTGAACTGGAAATGGAAAGTTGTCAGGTACAGAGGAAGCTATATGGAAGTGTCCTAGTTAATGTGTATGTGATTCCACTCATAGCATCTTTGCTTCATTCATACATCTTCTCTTGTTGCTATCCTACCTGGCCTTCTCCAGGTACTTATTTCTTTGTTTCTATACAAGTGTTTCAGAATATGGCTTCCATCTGCCATCAATCTGAAACACTACTACCTCATGCCATTCTCTTATGATCTTTCATCTGGTTCTTGCTTTTCAATTTTAGGCTCATAGTATTGGTCTGGTTACCTCTTTTCCTGCCACTTGGCTTCTTAGAATTCTGGTAACTTAAAGATTGTCTGCTCTTTGGTGGGTTCCACTCTCACTAAACGTCAATAGCTTAATTATTTAGTTTAAAACTCAGAAAGAATATTTATGAATGAGGTACTTTTTCTTCATAGTTGAAGACCATATAGTAAACATTCAAGGATTAACTATTCAAGTAGTCATTCCCTAAACTTTGATTCATATTCTATTATCTCACTTGATATATAAAGTACTTGCCTTTCATAAATTAACTTTTGGTATTTAAAAATATTTGGGGGATGCAATAAATATTATATTTCCAAGCTTACTATATTATCTAGTATATAAAATACTTGTCATTTTTGGTGTTTTAAAATACTTTTGTGGTGTGAAGTAAATTTTACCATATTGCTCAGCTTACTAATTTTCTGTCTAGAAGTAGATAAAGTAAAGAAGCCTTCACTGAAATATAAAATACTTCAATTTTCCATCTATGGTTTAAGTAAGCTGTACGGATTGAACTTCTAACTCTCAGATCTCAGCCCTGATGTTCACTTCTAAATTGCACATGCAGTTTTGAACACACTCAGTTTGGGCTCCTGTATCTTTTGGGAGTGCTTTAAAGCCAAATAATCCATGCAATCTTGTATCTTTGATCAAAATCAAATTAAAATTTGACATTTCAATCCCTTCAAATTGAGCAACTGGTACTCATAGTCTGTAAGGTTCTTAATTTTCACTAATAGGATCCTGAAGGTCATTCCTGTGAGTTTTAAGGTACTTAAAATGTTGATCAGTTGACTTGTAAATGTTTTTGGCCTTGCAGCTTGTCTAGTTCATGAGATACATAGTCAAGACATTGACTTCTTTCTCTTGGAGGCTTCTTAGGCCCTGAATTTTATAGATGACTTAGTATTTTGTGAGTTATAATGAAAACCCTAGATAGTATGTTTTACACTATTTAGCTTTCTCTTCACAGTCAGGATCATGTGTACCATATGCCCTCATATGTAATCAGACAAATCTGGAAGTAGAAAAGCAACTGTACTCAAGAGGGAGATGCATAGAAAAACATGGGAAAGAAACAAAAAAGAACAATTATGAAGAAAACGTCATACTGATGCTAGTGTTTGTGTATCTCAAAGAAATGAGAGGATGCTTGGCAGTGAGAGTTAGTCAGGTTTCTTTGAAGAAAATTCTTTTCCTTAGTATTTAAAAATGTTTTGTTTGTTCTAATTTTCAAGATGATTATAGATCTTGGGATATTCAGAAATGTGAACTGTGTAAACCAGAGCAAGTTTACCATCCCCCAGATGTGAAATTCGGAAACTCAACTACATTTCAGGATGACTATGTTCCCCAGGAGATAAAGCCTAGGCAAAGCTTTAAGCCCTGCTCTGTGGTCAAGTGTTCTGTAGGATCCTTTAATGGTGAGACAAGTCATCGTCGGGATTTTGTACCTCACCAACTAGAAGTCAAGTTTGAAAGGCCAAAAGAAGTTTATAAGCCGAATGACCAGCCTTTTGAGGATCTCACCACTCACCGGAATGACTTTCAGGGATGTGCTGGAGAAACTGCAAAAATCTGCAGACCTGCTTACACAAGAGTAACCCAAAACACTCAATTTAAAGGAAGCACTGAATTCCGTGACAGTTTCCAACCATGGGAAATCCCACCACCTAAAGTCAAGAAAGTAGCTGAGTATGTGCCCCCTCCAGGAAGCATGCAGTTAGACAGCACCACACATCTTGACTATGTTCCCTATCAGGCCAGCCGTGTTGTTGCCATCAGACCCATTTCTCACAGGAGAAAAAGCAATTTTCCTTTCCAAGGAAAAAGCACCATGAAGGAAGATTTTCCAGCATGGGAAAGTTGTCGTCAATCACTTATTAAGCAGCAGCAACAGATTCCCAACCCATCTGGAAAATTTGATGGCTTGAGCACTTTCAGATCTCACTTTGTGCCACATGAATTGATTCCAACAGAGAGCTGCAAACCTTTAAATACTGCTGCTAAGAGTTCGGTTCCACTTGATGATGTTACCATGTATTCTCTACAGTACACACCAAAGAAACAGGAAATCTGCCCAGCTAGCTATCCTTCTCCTCCAGGTTATATATTTGAAAATACAAATTCCCAAGGACATAAATTCTTTCGCAAGATAATTCCTGCAATGAAGGCCTTTTAGAGTTAGAGAGAGTTCAGTTTTTTAAGAGAAAACCCAAATTTTATAGTAAAAATTATAAGAGCTATAACATAACATTTTTAGCTTTTTAAACAAGTTAGGACATATAGGTCAGAATTCCCAAATCCATTTCATACTAATGGTTTGAACCAAGAATACTCTTTGTTGTTCTTGTGTTTTGTTTTTTTGAAGTAGGGCCTCCCTAGTGTCTCAAGGCTAGTCTGGAACCTGAAGTCTGCCTGTGTCTCCTGATCCAAGGTTGTTGTTTAATGGACAACCCTGAAGGCTAAATGATGTGCGTGTTCATCTATCTACACATGCTGGTGCAGGGCTTGTCCTCGGTCTTTTATCACTTACACTTCTTTTTATAGTCACACAATTATACAGCTACTCTGCCATTTACCAAATACATTGGGACTGTCTAGAACAAAATGTAAGGTTGAGATATGGATAACTATTCCAAAAAGTCCAGGATTTACTCATTCATTTTATTCATTCATTCAACCTCAACATATTTACATAGACTAGAACAAGTCAAGTTTGGTTGGTGATGTCAGAGACTACTCCTCTGCTCCTTGCCCTGTTCAACATAGTAACATGCATTGTGATTTGAAAAGGAAAGGTCCTCTGGGCTGGGAATCAGAGGACCAGATTTCAAATACTAATATCAGATTCTATTTGTGCCACTGTAAGCAAGCTGCTCACATACATACCTCTGTGATTCGTGTGTAAAAGAATATTGGTTCTGTCTACCTCATAAAAGTTTGTTGTAGTACATTTGGATGCATAAAGTACACATGTAAAGGGCGATTAACTACCTCCCAGCTACTTTTTGTACTGTTTTTCCTCTTCAAATAATAGTTACAGGATAGTTACAGACTTAGTATTCATTACATGTTCTACAGCAAAGATTATAAAACAACCTTTGAGTTTTGTGTATTTGTGTAATGTGTTTTGTAATGTGTAATGTGTTTGAGTAATGTGTATTTGTGAGAGGCATCTGCCTACTATAGTGTCACAAGAACTCTATAACTTATGGCAGAAAATAGAGAACTGAGATTAAATACTTTGGTGTGAATGGCTGTATTTTCAAAAGGAAAAATATTTACTAGAGCAGTCTTAGGGAAAACTTTCAGCTCTGACAAAATCTTCAGGACAAACTTAGGTACCTATGCATCCAGTGTCTACACCCAGTGTCACTGTTCACTATTAAGAGCCGTAACTACCTTGTTCACCACTGAAAGTGTAAGGATAAGTGCTAAGAAGGACAGAGAAGAGATACCAGTGAAGGACATGGAAATAGCATACTACACTTATAAATTCTGAAAGTTTCTGGAGATCTAAGATAAAGTGATTATTTTAATATTGATCATATGTGGGAAACAAGATTGAGTTTAAAATGTTTAATGTTTTCATAGTTTAAGAATATGTAGTATTTTATTAAGTATTTCTAATTCATTGAAAATAATTCCTAATATTTGCCTTTATTATAAATACATAATATCTGGAAAAATGTTTTATGTGCAATTAATAAAATGGATTGATTTTCATGAAGTCATTTCTGTATTTTAGCTGAGATAGAACATCCAGATAAATTTCTATCTAGATAAACCTATACATAAGTAGCTACCCACTATTTTAAAATAGAACATATGATCATAATTAAACATTTAAATTGGATAATACTATACCATCCTCTTCATCTTGGCCCATGTTCCAATGTTTAATATTCAAATCCCTCTGTAATTTCATGGGGTTGGTCTCCTCTCTGAACAAAGGCCATCCTTAAGAAGACAAAGAAGACATCTACTGGCATTTTCTGAAGCAGTCTTCCTTAGGCTAAGGACACACTAACATACTGTCTGTCACACTGTAACCTAATACCAGGTGTGAAAATAGAAATTGGAACAGATCATACCCTAAGACATTCAGCTGACAGTTCAGGAACATCTCCCTTTGGGAATGCCAGCTGAGTTGAGCCTTGAAAGATAAATAGGAAGGAATAAGGATGAAGAAAAGTGGGAAGGACCATATCCTGGTTTGCTTTCTATTGCAATGATAAAGACTATGACCAAAAAGAACTTGGGGAGGAACAGGTTTACTTTATCTTACTTCGTATAGTCCATCATGAAGGGAATTCAAGGAACTCAAGGAACTTGGAGACAAAAACTGAAGCAGAAGCCATGGGGAAACTTTGCTTACTTGCTCTGTGGCTTTCTCAGCCAGCTTTCTTATGTAATCCTGTACCATAGGTTCAGGGGTGGTACTGCCTATAGTAGACTAGACCTGCCCACACCAATCACTATTCAAGACAATGCTCACAGATGTACCTACAGGCCAATCTGATAAAGGCATTTCCTCTATGAGATTTCCTCTTTCTCCAAGACTCTAGTTTGTGTTAAGCTAATAAAAAAACCAACCATGAAATTTTTGTCTTACTGGTTTCCTTCTTCCCTTTCTTCTTCCTTCCTTTCTTTTTCCTTCTTCCTTTCTATTTCCTTCTTTTATCTTTTTTTCTCTTTATCTCTTTTGGTTTTTGTTGTTGTTGTTGTTTTTCCTCCTATTTTGAGGATAAAGTTGGTTGGGGAGGAGTTGGGGAAAGGGACATAATATGGCCACAATATACCATATGAAAATATTTTTTTTTAACTCACCAGCAAAATTGAACCCTTATCAATATGACACATAAATACCTCACAGTTAAACCATAACTTGTGATTTCTTGTTTATTCCCAAGATCTCATATTAATATCATAATATAAAACATAATACAACTTTAAAAGCCCCATGGTCTTTTTAAAAATTCAAATAGTCTCTTTAAAATATTCAGCATCTTTTAAAAAATCCAAAGTCTCCCAACTGTTGGTCCTGTAAAACAAAAGTTACATACTTTTTATTCCAAGAGGGGAGACCTGGGCATAGTTACAATTAAAGCAAAACCAACATCCATCAGTATGAATAGCTCAGTACTCAATGTCATGAGTTCACTCATAATTTTCTGGGCTCCAAACAGCATGGGCAGCTCCATTTCTCTGGCTCTGTAAGTCATCTGCACACTTGTCTCATTGGATCAGGCCAGCTCCAACCCACAATTGCTGCTGTTCTTGATCATACATACCTTGGTTCTTACATTTCCAATATGCTGGGTTCTTCTGTACTGGGTTCACCTTCACCAACGGCCTCTATTCGAGGACTCCAAACCTGCCACCTGATGCTAACCCTCTGCCTGTCTCCAGGACTTCTTTATTCTGGAGCTTCCATTGCTCCGGAGGCTTCACCTTCACCTTGGCCAGTGGTATCTCCTGGGCTCTCACAGGGCCAAGCCACAGCTGTTCTCCATGACCCCTTTAGTCTTGCAGCTTCCATGTGGCCCAAACCACATGCAAACGTTCTTACACAGTACCAAGTTTAGCTGCCAGCTTGAGATGCAGTCCTGAACCTCTAGGAACCACACCTTCTTGTGTTGACTCTAAGATACTTTGAAGATTTCATTTCAGTGATGCTGGCCTCTTACTAATCAAATCCTATTCTTCAGCTCACCAGACCCAGAAGCTAGAGATCTTTATAAAATTTATCACACAAATAATCCTGACAGTCTTTATTTCCTCTGAAACTTTACATGCCAGGACTCCATCATTTGCACTTAACACTCTTACCTTCCAAGCTCCTACAAAACAGCCCATTAAACTTTGATCACTCAGTGACTTTTCCAGCTTAGAGTTCCAAATTGATGCCAGGTCTGTGGTATCAATACCATACGGTTCAAATACAAAATTCTGTTCTATTTTGCTTTCTTTTGCTGTGATAAACACCATGTGTTAGCAGTAGGTTTTTTCCTGTAGCCGGTAGGGTCCCACTGCCACACCAGCTCCAAATAACACACAGAGACGCTGTGTTAGATATAATTCTGTTGGCCAGTTACTAGTTTCTTATCAGCTAGCTCTATCTTAAATATTAACCCATTTCTATTAATCTAAGTATTTCCACATGGTCTCATCTTACTGGAGAGAGGGCCCAGTGTTCTGCTCTCTTCGTCCTTCATCTTGGATCTCCTCCTTACTACTTCCTCTTTCCCCTAGTCCCACCTATCATGTTTTCCTATTGGCCAACAGTGCTTTATTCATTAACCAATATGAGAAACATTATTTACAGAATGACATCTCCCACACTCTTATCTTCCAAGCTCCTACAAAACAGCCCATTAAACTTTGATCACTCAGTGACTTTTCCAGCTTAGAGTTCCAAATTGATGCCAGGTCTGTGGCATCAATACCATATGGTTCAAATACAAAATTCTGTTCTATTTTGCTTTCTTTTTCTGTGATAAATACCATGACCGACAGAAAATTGAGGAGAAAGGGGTTATTTCATGTTATGGTCTATTATGAAGGGAAGTCTGCAGAAACTCAAGGCGGGAATCTAGAAGTATGAACAGAAGCAGAGATCATGGAAAAAACACTGTCTACTGGCCTGTTCATCATGGTTTCCTCAAGCTACTCTTTTAAAACTTAGGACCACCTGCCCAGGGGTCCTTTAGTGGGAAGGAACCTCTCATATCAATCATTAAAATCAAAAGAATGCTCACAGGGACTGAAGTGACACTTGTTCTTGCAAAGGTTAAGAGCACTTGTCCTTGCAAAGGACTTAGCACCTACATTGGTTCATAACCCCCTAATTGCATTTCCAGGAAATACAACAACCTCTTCTCAAAACCACATTCACATAAAATAATTTTTTAAAAGTGAAAATGCCTGGTTGTAGGTGGCTCAGCAGTTAAAAGCACTAGCTGCTTTTCTAGAGGTCCTGAATTTAATTCCCAGCAACCACAAGGCAGCTCACGATCAGAATGTCCTCTTCTTGCCTGCAGGAATACCTGCAGACAAAGCACAAAAATGAATCTTTTTTAAAAAAAGAAGAAGCAGAAGCAGCAGGGAATGTGCCTGACGGATGTGCCTATAAGTCAATCTGATGGAGGCAGATTTCTCAATTAAGTTTCTTCTTCCTCCATAACTCTAGCTTGGGCCAACTTGGAAGAAAAAAACTAAACAGCACAAATCAGTATAAATGCAGGTCTTGTTAAAGAGCCATTTTAGAGTAACAGCAATGGAAAGTTAGCAATCCCAATTCACTCATTTATTAGGTCTCCTCAAAAATCCTATTCAGGAAAATTCATTTACACATTTTAGAAAAGCATTGGAAACTATTAATATTAAACAGTCTGCCTGAGTCTAGAAGGAGGACTTTCCATTAAGGCAAACTTGGATAACCAGTATAGAGGAAAATTCAGAGTGCAAGTTTGATAATATGTCTCTTTTTTCTTAAATGGTGTGTCTGTGCACATGTTCACCTGATTTTTAACAAAGAAGCCAAAAAATATACTGGAAAAAACCCAGCCTCTTCAACCAGTAATGCTGGTCATACTGGGTTGGCTGTATTTAGAAGAATGATAATAAAATCATATTTATCAACCTGCATGAAACTCAATTCCAAAATAGATCAAAGACTTCAACACAAGGATAGATAGCCTGAATCTGAAAGTGGAGAAAGAGGGAAATAGTCTTGAACTCATTGGCACAGGAAAAGACTTTCAGAACACCCATAGCACAAGCACTAAGAACAGTTAATAAATGGGACCTCATGAAAATGAGAAGTTTCTGCATGGCAAAGGACACTGTCATTCAGGCAAAGTGATAGCTTACAAAATGAAAACAGATCTTATTTTTACCAATTACATATCTGATGGACAGACATAAAATATATAAAGAACTAAAAAAAAAAAATCTGGACATCAAGAAACAAATAACCCAATTTAAATTAATTGGGTTAAATTAATTTACACAAAATTAATAAAAGAGGAAACACAAATTGCTGAGAAACACTTAAAAGAAATGTTCAACATCTGTAGCCATGGGGGAAATTTAAATCAAAATTACTCTGAGATTTCATCTTACACCAGCCAGAATGGCCAAGATCAAGAAAACAAATGCCATCTCATGCTGATTAGGATGTGGGGAAAGAGGAATATTTATCTATTGCTGGTGGGAGGGAAAACTTGTATAGCTACTATAAAAGTCAATGTGATGGTTCCTCGGGAACTTGAGCACAGAGTGAGAAATTTGGGAACACTCAGTTCTAAATGGGATGTCTTCATCAAACCCTCTCCTCAGGGCTCAGGGCTCTATGCCGAAGAGGAGGAGGAAAAGATTTTAAGAGCCAGAAGGAGTGGATGACACCAATGAAACAGTGTCCTCCAGGCACAATAAGAATGAATGATGAGTATCTGAATTCATAGAGACTGTAGCTGCATGCTCAGAGCCTGTACAAGTCTAAACCAGATGGAGTCCCAGTGCTGAGGATGAGAAGTGGACAGGAGCTCCGATCCCTAATAAAAAGGTATCTCCAATTGGCATCTACTTGCTAAGGAAAATTTAGTCTCTCCAAATGGAATCTCATTGGTTACATTAATCACAGTTATGGGTAGATTCCATGTCCAACATTAGATGGTCCTCACAAAATGAACTCAGTGTCATTTTGTAGACCTTTGG